CCAACTGTAATATGCAGGCCAAAACGGGCATTCTTACCATTTCAGAGCAAACCTTACCCCAAACAACTCTATAAGCACCTGACCTCACCTCAACATTCAGTTCTTACCAGCTCTAGTAAGAAGCTTGTTTATCCAGATCTATCCTTACCAAACCTTGACTTCAACCTGCTTTGACTCCTCATAGCCTAATAGTAGCCTTACTACTAGGATGATTTTAACTCATATACCTTGTGAGCACCAGTCCTCATGCTGAAGAGTCCAGAGAGAAAATAAAACTTTTCAGACTTGCTGTCAAGATCCCTAACCAAGTTGTTGGTAACAGATCTGCAACATCTCCCAACCCAGAATTAACCATCAGTTCTGCACATACCTGTAGAGGATCCAGCAGGAAGTCAAACTATTCAGCCCCTCCTCTCCTGAGCCCTAGCTTACTTGGGAGTTATCAAGGCCACTCAGCCCAGCCAGCCTCAGTTCTCTTAGGCCCACCGATGTTGCAGTGCTGCCCATCCTAAGTCCCATCCCTTCTTTGAAGCAAACTACAGCCTACAGCTAGGGATAGAGAGGGCTAAGCAGGTAATGTCATTTCTGGATCCTATCAGTATTATCAGACTAGGCTGATTCTGGACAAATGGACAAACTTCGGTCCAGGACAGGAAACAGTTGTTTAGTTGATCACAGTTTTAGATCAGGGGCTGAAGATCCAGGTTTGCTTCTTGCTTATTTAGGTGCCATGGGATTGGGGTGACAGCTGGTGCTGGTCACAGCTCAGGATTGTCTGGGGAATGCAGGACCTTTGTGCTTCAGGGCAAGGCTAGAGTTAGAATGGGGTTAGCGTTCAGGGCAGAAGGTGCTGAAGAGTTAGAATTGGTCCTGGACCCTGATGAGGAAGGGGAGGCTGTGGCCAGCTACACAGAATCAGCCCAGGCTGAGTCTGGGAGAGGTGAGCTGCAGTCTGGGGTGTGGGGTTCATGTGAACCTTCAAGGGTTGGGGCTCAGGCTAGGTGAAGGCGTAAAAAGCAAAATTTAAGAGGAGGATATCAAGTAAACCTTCTGGTTCCAGTAGAAGCTATGAACCAAGCTTTTCTGTCTTCATATCCCCATCCCTGGCCTAAATGCCAACCCTCCAGCACAGCATGAACATCAGGAGAGGGGTCACTGCCTATTTTTCATCCTTCTTTGCAGCAACCCAATATAGCCTGCTGTCTTTTCAAAAAATTAAGCAATATTCCCCATCTGTGAGTCCTGCCCTACAATCCCAGGCTCATGGCCTCTGCAAACTCCAAAGCAGACATGGATCTCTGGACTAGACTAAAGAGATTCTTAAATCTAATGCTGTAGGCTAGGTCTAGCATTCACATAGCTGCTTAGGAGAGCTTACAGCTCTGTGCAGGCTGCAGAGCTTGGAAGGCAGGTTGTTGCATGTCAGGAAGAAGGGCCAAGTTTGTTCTTATTTCAATGGTTCAAAAATAAACAACCATAAGGGGAGGAAAAAAAACAAAAAACAGGAGAGACTAACTGTCAATTGCTCAGACTGTATTTAGGACTAATGCTTGTGGCAAAGCAATTACAATTGAACAACTGCATTACACAAAAGATTGTAGTTCATGTTTGCGAATCTGGACAGTCTCAGAATGGGATCCTTTCTGTTTTTTCCTCACCCTGAGTCTTCATATATAAAACCCACATCTTTTTGGCGTTTGTTACATGCTGTCTAGAACCTTATCCTGAATCTGGTATTAATGGCATAGCTGCAGCCCCTGCCTGGCCCAGAACAAATTATACCCCTATCACCTCTGAAAGCATAAAACTTCATGCAATAACTGCAAATCCAGGGGGGAAAAAAAAGTCTAGGTGCTAGGCAAAAATCCACCAAAATTTACAAAGAGTTATATACATAATTGAAACATCATTACCACTTTTCAGTATATTGTTGGAAAGTCCATTAAGGCTCCCTTATAGTCTGACCAAGAACTTACTTCTCCCTCTAGAGGAAATGAAAATTAACACAAGGAAAATAAGATTATGCCAAGACCAGGAAAATAACCAGCCACTAAGAGGTCAGCCTTTTTGCTATAAAAGTCTAGCAGTGTTTTTGAAGGATCAAAACTACATCTGTAAAAGTAATGAATTAAAAATTCACATATTTATTTTTACAGTAATGCCCGAGAAAGTTAAAAACAAATTGCCATTTAGCTTTTTCATTTTTAAAGTATCTATGAAGCTCTCTAATATATTGAGTTAATTAAAAATGATACAACTTTTTTTAGTTCCATCTCCACTCACTGAAGGTCTAATTCCTCATTCCTTTCTTCTTCTGAACAGAGAGAGATGTAAATAGCCAGGCCACATAACTAGACAGGAGACCCCTACATGCTTTCCTGTCTCTGTAGTCCCTCATCGTTCTGCAAGCACACCATAGGTAAGAACCCTACGGATTAAGGGCGCACAGAGACGAGGTGCCTGCTGCATTCTACATCTGTGTGTCATATTTACAGCTGAATATCACATACAAACTTGCTGTACAATTTTGCAGGTAAAAACAGCAGGCGGAGTAGAAGATTCAGCTACAGAACCAGGTACATTTTTCCAAAGGAGAAAAAAAAAGTTTCTCGCCTTTGCACCCATAGATCATTATTCTCACAGTTGTTTGTATACAAAAACTGCAGGACACTTCAGTCTTTAGAAGATGTTGACCTTGTTTCTTTCATATCTTGGAGGACCATAGGTGTGGTTCTTGTCTGAGCACAGCTGCCAAAAGCAAGCCTGCATCTGGGCACCAGAGGCCTGTCACAGCTAGCTTTGCGTTATTTAATCAAAATATTTCAGCACAGAAGCGAAAACCCTCCAAGCAGACACATCCCTACATGCAAAGCTGGTTTTACCTGCTTCGTCATGGGGAAACCAAATCCACAAACCTCCACCTTTCAAGTCTTCTGCTGCTACATGAAACAAAATCTATAGTGTGGCAGAAGGAGCAAAATAGTACCAGACTGGCACAGTCTTCAGAAGTAAGCTGGGGTTGTGAGACAACTGCTCAGAGTGCAAAGCAGTCATATAGCACCACAGGATATTGGGGGGGGGGGGGGGGGGGGGACCAAAAAGGACAACTACCAAAAAAAAAAAAAACAGAAAACCCCCAACAAAACCAACATATCTGCTAAGAGTATTTCCCTCCTAGCTCTCCCATCTCATATCCTTCCCACTGAGTCCCATTGAACGAGGGCTGGCTTATCTCCGGAAAGATGGGATTAATTGCTTTTGTACATTTGTATCTTTGATAGTACAGCTGTAAATATTCTCTCTGCACACATTTAAGCTTTCAAATATCACTAAGTCTTTTAGCTACAAATTCCCAGAAGTGCTTTTTACGAAGCATCTGACCTGTGTCACATGGGCAGCCTGTTCAAAAAAAAAAAAAAAACACACCCCACACCACTACCAGCACCTCAAACTAGGCAGCTCAATTTTCAGCCCTTGCTTACTTGCACCAGTGCAAACAGATCACAAGGAACTCCCTAGTGTGGCACACCAACCATTTACCACTGTCTAAAGCATCCTCTCTTATCTGTTTTAAGCCAATCCTCCACTAGTTTAAGCTGGTCTCCTTAGCTTTAGTATTGCAGGATTTGGTAAACAGCATTTCTGTGTTTATTTTGTATATCATCCTCATGATTTTCGTAAGCCTTTGCCGTATCCCCTTGCTTTAGCTTTCTGCTCTCCAAACTGAGGAGTCTTAGCCTTTTTAGTCCCTCTTCACACAGCAGCTGCTCCAACCCCTGAATCATGCCCTCCGGGGGAAGCTCTGTAGCCTTCCTAACTCCACTATGTGGAGACCAGAACTGCACACAGCACTCAACATGAAGGCACACCAAAGCTTTACCCAGCAGCAAATGCTGCCCTCCATCCCGTTCTCCTTCCCTTCCTGATCACTAGCTCAACCTGTGGGCGTTATCTCAGAAGTGTCAAACCTGATGACACCATCTCCTCCCCAAGTGTCAGTTGCTCATCTTGTTCACAGCACCAGACCAGGGAATAAGAGCACACTTTGCGGGACCATGTTCTGACTAGAACGAAATACTAGCTTTAAGATTTTGTCAAACACAATGCTTTTTGTCTTCAGTCTGAAACCTATCTGCTGATCAGAGTATTACTCACTGTACTTTCCCCAGATATGGCTACTATCCTTCCTTAAACTAAAATATAGTATTATTTTGCAAGCAGAAGTGTTCTGTATAGGGGTTTTGATTTCACAACTGGTATTTTAGATGTTTAGCATTTACACTTTAACCAGAATGTTAACTATAAGCTGCTTTAATACTCCTATAGTTCTTTCACAGTTGTATAAAGTCATACTTCTCACCTGAAAGAACTGGGAATCCACTGTATTTTCAGAGAACACAGAAAACAATTTTTGCTTTGAAAGATATTTCAAGTAAACAATGTAAAGTTTTGCTTGCAGAAACATTCCCAAAGCCACAGTGACAAAGCAGCTGAGTTAATAACATTAACTCTGTAGAGATGTTCTTGTTCAAAAGGGGGGAAAAAAAAAAGGGATGATAAATGTTGACATTGAACAAAGGAAGAACGGGTTTGAAGTCAACAGAAAGGAATTCTCAGAGGCTTAGGGGTAGTTATCACATCTCCACAATTTAGCCTCATCACTCCATTAACCCTTCTCAGAGCCATGCAAGGACTGCAGGGGCCACAGCTCACCACTTACCCCCTCAGACAACCTCTCCAGACTGTCCACTTGTATTGCTTGCTGTTAGCCAAGCTCCACAAAAGTGGCGCTTGCAGTAGCCCACAAAAGACCCCAGAGCCCCACGACTAAGTCTACTCTTGGTAGGTGGAGTGGGGGGAAAGAAGGAAGACACAGTAGCAGCAATATCTTGCGGTGCTTGTGTCCCAGGTT